AAGATGCTGGAATTCTTCCCTTAAGGACAATACACATTAAATCTCCTTTAAAATTGGAGTTCATGTTAACTTCCTTATTTTGGCATAAACGATGTTTCATTTCTCTAAACTTTCGGTTCCATGCTCATGTCAATGAATATTAATGGATATTGACTTTAGATGAAGATTTCTGTCAGAAACTCTAATTCTTCTCCTAGAGCGTCAGGGCTACCGGTGCATCAAATATAAGTGGCAAGGGATATTATCAGGTCCTGTTTACATCCAACTATCATTTGGCCGTTCCATGTGTGCTTCCTATGGATGAACCTTCTTAAAGTTCCATCGGTTCTTTTTGTAGGTTCAACATCCAGAAAAGGAATTTCAGATCCGCTTTCTGAACCATGTTGCTGGATGGCATTTGTTGAATATCTGTAACAGTTGATCAAGGTCATGACTGTCATCACAGATAATAAGAATGTCATCCACATACTTTGTACACAGTTAAAAATTATCAGTAGTTGACTTTAACGGACCATTATCGAGGCCTGGCATGAAACAGTCTGCTAGCAATGAACGCAAGAGAAATACCATTACAATCCCGTTTTTTGTCTGTAAATAACGTCGTTGAACGTGAATAGCAAATTTAGGGTGCATCTCAGTAGTAGTTCCTTTAAACAAGCTGTTGGTAATTCGATGCTCAGCTGATTTTCATCTGTCTATTGACTAAGATGACAGACAGTTTCCATAAGTGGAACGTTGGTGAATAGTGGTGATTCATTGTCAAGAAAGATAATACTTTTGTTCGATAAGATGATATCTTGTGTGCGGTTGGAGAATTTCAAGGTGTCACAATGTGAATGGAGGAATACCTATTTTTCGATTAATTTCTAGAATGAACAGTCCGCAAACACCTAACAAACCATCAAAGAGGAGAATTAGAATATCTGAGAGACGACAAAGAACTACTAATAACCCTTCCTGACAAGGGAGCTGGTGTAGTTCTTTTGGACCGGAAAGACTATATGGGGAAAATGAAGAATATACTCTCCGATGAAAGCAAATTTTCTCAACCATCCAACGAAACAACTTACAAACTCCTTGAAAAGAAAGAAAGCAGATCAGTTAATTAGGTGCGATTTCTTTGATGGAATCCGCCAGACAGACTCAATACTACGAAGTCTTTATGGCTTACCATGGTCGCACAAAGTTGGTCATCCACTCCATCCAATTCTAGATATGTCAGGTTCCCCGTATCATTCTGTTGCAAAATGGTTTACTGATATTCTAGAACCTGTGAGGTAACATCTATGCATACACTGACTTCATGATACCTTCCAATTCTTCTATAGTTTGGTTTGTAAGGATTAGTTATGTTTTACGAGTTGATCACGGACTGATATCAGTTAGAGAACCATTGAAAACCAGGGAGTACTGGACAGCTGCTGTTTCATCCTAGTTTGGGAATCATCGGCAGTACGCACCCACTGGGATTCGAACCCAGGACCTTCCGGTTACAAGGCAAGCTCGTATACCATTCAGCCACTGGGACCCGATTCAATGGCTCATGAATTCTAACTTCTACCAATTCGTGATTTTAGCGCGACCCCAACATCGGAAGGTCCTGGGTTCGAATCCCAGTGGGTGCGTACTGCCGATGATTCCCAAACTAGGATGAAACAGCAGCTGTCCAGTACTCCCTGGTTTTCAATGGTTCTCTAACTGATATCAGTCCGTGATCAACTCGTAAAACCTTCCAATTCGTCGGTAGCATACAAGATATAAATGTTACTAACAAAAGTATGCTATCTTTCTACACTGAATCACTGTTCACCAATGTCCCACTTACAGAAACTGTCAGTTTTATATGTAAATACATAGATGACGACCAGTTCAACATTGGAATACCAACAACATGTCTGAAAGAATTGTTACTGAGGTGTACTCTCAATATAGAATTTACTTTCAGTGACATCACCTACAGACAAAAGGACGGTATTGCAATGGGATCTACCTTGGGTCCATTACTAGCAGACTGCTTCATGGCTAGCCTTAAGAACGGCCCACTCTAGTCGTCCATTGAAAATTTGCAATTATACAAATTATACGCAGACGGCATTTCCGTCGTTTGCGATAACAGTTACAACCAAAATCAGTTGCTACAAATATTCAACAACTGCCATCCAGCAACAAAAAATCACTCTAGAAATGGAATGCGAGTCCGAAATTCCCTTTCTTGATTTGCAACTAACAAGACGACCTGACGGAACCTTAAGAAAACCCACTTGGAACGGTCACTAAAAGTTTCTAAAGTTGAGTAACTATTGAGCGGAAACGAAATCTGTTTAAATCCCTTGCCACTCGGATCGGACACATCTGCAGTCCTGACGCCCTGGAAGCAGAACTGGATCTTCTGAAAGAAGCCTTCATCCAAAATGGATACCCACCAAGATTCATCGACAAGAATATCAAACCAAAAGTCTAGAGGAACGAAACATCCCTTGTTTCAAAAAAGATACTTTACATGAATCTGGATTTCAAGGCAGACTTAGCTTGCGATATCCTGAAGGAAAGAATTACAGTATCTTTGAAAAGAACATTCTTTGCAGCAGCGCTAAGAGTAGTGTTTACCAGTCATCCATTGATCTGCAGAAGCATTACGGACAAGATCTCTTACCTGTCCACTCGTATGTGCATATTATCATTTCACCTGTTGCTGTGGAGCCAGGTACATTGGTCGTTCGACGCATATCCTGTCCAAAAAGGTTCAAGAACACTATCCCAAATGGTTACAAAAAGGTAATAGTGGTTGTATAAGGAGTGCTATAATTGAACATCTCGTCAACACTAGTCATTCCATCTCAACAAACGCCTCCTTCAAAGTGATCTACAAAGTGAAGAATAGCCTACCAAAGGCAATACGCTTTCATCTCCTTTGTGTCGTTGAAACCAAAACCATTCATTTGGAAAAGCCAGAGTTATTCATACAAAGGAAAATCATCCAACCACTTCTACTATCATGGTAACAACCGTGTTGACTTCTACTGACTTGATGTTTATGTGCTTGTTTTTTTCTCTCACTCCTTATAACATTTGTAATTTTAGAACTCTTACATAATTTCATATTTTCCTTTGTTTCTATGTGCATCCTAATCACAACTCACCCATGAAACTATTCATCTTATTACGTAAGCGCATTACGCCTATTCAACTTCTCTTATGTGTTGATTAACATTAATAACTATGTTTTTTGTTTTGTTTTGACAACGCATCACCATTACCCTCTTACCAATCTTCACCCCTCGCCCTAGTTACAGTTTGATTACTCATCACATTTTTGAAATGTCCTGACAGTAATAACCCTAACTAATTTTTATTCTTATCGGACAAACCTAATGTACACACACACATACAAAAATAAGTAAATATAATTGCGATTGTACAGCTAAGTGAATGAATTCGCCGACGAAAAGAGACTCTTCGTTGAACTACGTGTTTTGTTTTCATTTTAGATTTTGCGCATAACTCCAGCGTTTGTATTGTATTGTTGAAAAATCAATAAGTCACTTTGATTCAGGATCCCGCAGAAAGAATTTACAATGATGGTCTATATTACGATGCTTTTAATCTTATGAAAACTCAACGAGAAGGAATTAATTATGGTGTCTTTGTAAAATGTCTGTCTCATTACTTTATCCCTTAAATACTTTAGCCTCAAGTTACAAGCCATTTAATTTTGTATATCTTATTATTGTTCTTAAAGTATATGGGTAATATATTGTAACGGCAGAACTCATTTTAACTGGTAACGGAATTTATTTTATGGACAACTCCATGTGCAGGTATGACCAAAGCATATCTACCTTATGTTAAAATCACAATCAGCACATATCCTCCGTATTATGCTTCTTTTGTCTTCCTTTCATGTTTCCTATGCTGTTTCATATGAATCGTTCACTTCTTTTCACCATCAAATCCATCCCTACGCTACTGATTATTCTTGAAGATGATTTATGTCTATGTTTTATACTACTTACAAAACCTTTCAGTAGCACGTTCATAATATTAAATGTTCTGATTAATTTTTATTCAGATAGGTTTAACCTATGTATCTAGGCTAAATTTATACAACCATTGCAATCCTACTTCATCTTCTTCTTCTTCTTCTTACCTACTACATTATCTACATCCTAGTTATCAATGAGAAATAAATCATTTTCTATAGTTTGGTTTCTAAGGGTTAGTTATGTTTTTACGAGTTGATCACGGATTGAAATCAGCTAGAGAGACATTGAAAGCCATGGAGCACTGGACAGCTGTTTCATCCTAGTTTTGGAAATCACCGGCAGTACGCACCCACCAACGGGGTTTGAACCCAAGACCTTCCGGTTACAAGGAAAGCTCGTATACCATTCAGCCACTGGGACCCGATTCAATGGCTTATGAATTATAACTTCTTCCAATTGGTGATTTAGCGCGACCCAAACCAATGTCGTTGGTGGGACATCCATCCTCACATGTGATATCTGGATGGATCTCACTGGTCACGACTTCTCACTAGAACTCCAGGAAGCTCCAACCTGTAGCAAGTCACTAGCGAGCATCAGATTAATTTTCTATAGTTTGGTTTGTAAGGGTTAGTTATAAATCATTACTACTTGTTTAAGTATAATATCTGTATATAAGAGTACTGAGTACTGCAAAGGCGGTTAAATCAGATATTATTGAAAACAGTACCATTCGGTAATACCTTTTATACACTAGATTATTCAAAATAGACGTTTAATTTAGACTATTTGTCAATATATTACTTGCTTACCTATGGGGAATTCGATAAACTTTAAGATTGATATAGGTTAGAGAACCATCGGAAACAAATGCAAAAATGAAGACGCCCAATTATTTCGTATCTTACTATCATTCAGGGTTTCGAACTCAATACTTCAATTATCAACCCACTAAATAAACAAACCTTCCTTATTTTATGCAATAATAAGAAAGAAATGTTTATTGAATACATATACCGTGATTGATTCAGTGTAAGATGAAGTGCATTTATAAAAGTTAGTTTAATATGAAGATAAGGTGAAAGTTATGAGGCAGTTGGGATGATATGTTTACGTGTAATGAATAACACAGAGACATCAGCATTACAGTATTGTATAAAAGTTGATTTCACCACACTGATGTCCACACATGATTGTCAACGGATTCCAGTTTATTGCTAGTAGTTTAGTGACTTGTTCACCTGTTGGATAAATTCTAATCTGAAAAAAATAACATTATTCAAAATAAAGTTAAGTAATTAATTGGTAATAGTTTCGAAAGATAAAACACAGTAATCATGACTAAATAATTATAAACGGTATGCGGAAAGGCTGAGTTTTTCGATTATAAAATAGAATGACCACTTACTTACTGAAACTTTATATTCTCTTGAAAATGTGCTAAAAAGAAACGCCTATGTATACCAACTTGATATTCGCTGTAAAAGGAATTACAGCCGCCTTTACAGTAGGATATCTTGCCTAGAGGAGAATCAAATTTCCACTGAAACATTCCCTTATATGCTGAAAAATGTGTTGATATTAAATGGCAGATACTGATAGTGGATACCATCTTTGTTGATATTAACAATTATTTGAAGATATTCAAGTGTTGATTTGTAGGGATTTGATTGGTTTCAGGATTTCATCATGAACTGACATCAGTTAGAATGTAACGACAGAAGACAAGGGCCAGGCAACAGATCATTTATCAAGGAAATCAACGCATATTTATATATTTTCATGTACATTACTATGGATATTTAAACAAACAAACACAGTCTTCCGATTGGTTGTTTCTCACGTAAAGTTAATCTTTCATCTATTTGTGACTGCTTCTTGAATGTCAAATCCTCTATATGTTAACTGCATCCGCCTACGCAAAGTCTGCTGTGGTCGGTTTTGAATCAATCTTTGTTCACATTTTCTCACGACAAATCTTGAGAACGTAAATATTGACGTAAATTACTGTCTACCAATTTGGCTAGTAGACAGCTCTCACCACAAGAAAACCACTGGAAAACCTGGGAGTACTAGATAACTGTTTCGTCCCAGTTTTGGACTCTTCACAGTATGCACCCACCGACGGGGTTCGAACCCAGTACCTTCTGGTTACAAGGCGAGCTCGTAGACCATTTTGAAACTTGAAAATATATTAAACGTTAAGGGTTATTAAGAATTTTTGTATGAAAATTTCATATTTTTCTTATAATGGTCAACATTTGTATGGAATAAGGAGTAATAACTTCTTGATTTACTTATCTATTCTATACTACATTTTCAAATTTGTGTAACAACTTGGAGTAATTTAATGGATGGTGAATAGCACTTAGACTGCCTAGGCCTAGTGAATGACGCCTTGGCGTTTGAAAAGATGGGTACTGAGTTCCAGTTTCAATGGGAACACGGTCATTCACTGGGGAATGCAGGTACATCCTGCTGACGAGTCCCAAAGAGGATGAAATGAGCATCCTAGATTCCATTGCTAGTCACCATCCATCAAATTACTTCGAGTTAATCCCCAGGCATCGTCGAAGCATCCGTACTAGAAGCCGACATGTCAACATAGGTCAAACATTTTAGTTCTGTCAATCAGCGGGGAAGTCGAAACTGAGTTAAAAACAAATGATTGTGCAACAAGGTTTAAAGATGAATTTCAGAAGGGAATCTAAAAGAAAGTCATCGTTCTAAACTAGTATTAACCATTTTTTTTAAACAGTGTAATAGATCTTAAATCTAGAGAAGACTAGGAAGTAGTTTATGTGTGTATACGTGTGTCAATTAACTGACTACCACGGAAAACTTAATCCTTCACATCTACACATTGGCTTATCTTCACTAAAATTTTTCACATATACTACTATAATCTCTTTTTCACTTTGTTCTCAGTTTACTCTCTTATATTTTCGTTGATAAAGATATAATTCATCTGACATGCAGAAAGTAAGCTGAAGACAAACAGGGAGACACGATAATAAGAAATACAGTGTATGAGTAAAGTAAACCATCTTAATTTTTACAGAGATTACTTAAACCGCCTAATTTTTAAGTGTACATTTGAAATAAAACAAACTTATTTATATTCCTATAAACTCAAAGTCCGGATATGCAGTGAAAGGGATATATCCTAGTGAGAATGCTAGTGTGGTAAGAGCTGGCTGCTAGCAAAAGTTGGTAGACAGTAATTGACGTCAATGTTTATGTCCCCAATATTGGTGGTGAGTGCGTCGGTGGCATAGCGGTTAGGACGCTCGCCGACCATGCACATGGTACGGGGTTCGAATCCCGGCTGACGCACTCCTTTACCTCGCTAAGTCAGCAATCATGCTGGTGAAGAGGAAAGGTTGGGCATGAGGCTAGCAACCCCATCCTGTTAAATGAACACTGCTACAGAAACTTCAAGCCACTAGCTTGAAGCCCTATGTTCCACTGAGGAACGTGAAGGAAAAAAAAATATTGATGGTGAGAAAATGAGAACAAAGGCTTTGCGTAGGCGGATACAGTTAGCATATGGATGATCTGACACAACCACAAAGAGATGCAAGGTTAACTTTCTGTGAGAAACAACCAATCAAAAGACTGTATTTTCTACTAACAATAATCTACAGTAATGTACATTAAAATCTATAAATATGTGTTGATTTTCCTTAATAAACGATCTGTTGCCTGGCCCTTGTCTTCTGTTGTTATACTAGTACGTCATATGAATACTCTTCATTGTGTAAGTAGTTTGACAGAAAGCTTTTGTGACTTTCAGAAAATAATGTATAGCTACCTTTTAAGGTTATCAAACATTTTAAATTTAATCACTAGCTAGTAATCCTGGTGTACAACCACTACAAACTTCAAAATATTGAAGTTAGCGCTGAAGATTTTTGCCTGGAAGGAGAATGGAAGCTTCGTAATCAAATCATTTAGTTTAGAGAACTCAACAACAAAATCCAAAAAACAACAACAACAACATCCAACTGAATTATGAGTATTCCATATTATTTCTAAATCTGTAACAAGGTATAATGATTAAAAATCCACTCAATGGTGTATGATTTAAAATCATAGCTTTAATGCGCGACTGATCTGTGATTTGAATTCTATCGACTCCCTACAAACTACGCAGTTGATTTATGCAGTATTTCTTACTGAATAATAAACAATAAGCATATATATACCAATTAAAATATACTTACTTGTTCCCATTTGCCTTCACCTGATTGATTGTAGTCATTTGTAGAACATTTAATTAGACGTAAAACACTGTCAGATGTTGCTAACAACAAGTTTACAGATAAGGATTTTTGAGTATCAAAATATGCTGAAGTTACACAATACGCAGTAACACTTAAATTTGATTCAGATAGCTGAAATATACAAAACATGGAAAGATACGACGAAAGACAATAAGATAGAGTTGACATTAGCAAAAATAATAATAAAATTAATAATAATAATGAAGCTAAAACATTCATGATGTAATCTGTGTTAACTAACTATGACACCGAGGAACCTTTCGAAAAGAAATCTTTCAGTAACCTTAACTAATTTATTCCATTAGTTGAGAATCTAAAAGAAGTTTTGACAGGTATCGACATTTATTTATTTATTTATTTTTGTTTACAGCTTGGTTCCACACAGTACTTTTGGTAGAAGTATGGAATTTTCAGCATGGATATCGGTAGCCCAATTTTTACAGGCCGACCATAGATATCGGGTGTGCGTCGGCAGGTAATCGAACCCCGGACCATGTGCATGGTCGGCGGGAGTCCTAACCACTGTGCTACCGACGCACATCAGCTAGAAGAGTCAATGAGATCCAAAATGCATTATATAATTGTTTCTTTATTATCTGAGATTCCACACGAAGGCGAGATCATAACCAAGGCGGCTTATTAACACTGAGTCATTAGGTAAGATGTTCAGATTGTCATTCAATGATAAAATTGCATGACTTCGGAGATAGACCACGAATTAACAGAAGTCATAATTCAAAGTTCATTGAATTCCCACCCATTGGCTAGATGATCATGATTTCAGTCTCTTCTGGTGGATTCACAGTCCCATAGTCGAACAAAACAAGTATCCGCTACTTTTTGATTTTCAATGGTCCTTTCAACTATGTATTCATGAAGAACTCTATTTTGAAGTCAATCAAGTGTCTTCGTAATCCCAAAATCAGAAGGAGCTCACAATGCATCGTCACAGTGTTAGTCTTTCAACAAATTCGTAAATGCATATATATAAATATATTCTTGTTATCAAAAAGTAAAAGTTGACTTTAATCATCAACTTACCACGATATTAATTATCATTTCATTTTTATCATTAAAGATGACAATTCTTGGTTCTGATTTCATTGAACTTGTCACAATTTTAAATCTAAATTAATTTTTTCACAGAAAAGAAAAAGTAGAAATGAAAGAAAACACACTTTAATAAAGGTTTTTGTATTTCCCAATGAATGAAAACAAAACGATATTGTTTTTACTGACGTTTCGCTATTTAATGCTGCCGCTAATAGCTTTATCAAAGTATTATTAAACCGGAATTTACAAAATCTCAGCATATATATAACAAAGAGTTAAGAGGTGAGAAAATAGACTTAGGTTAAGTTAAAGGGGACATATTGAAAGTCAAAATAACAATGAAGATCACTAAACCAAATAACAAAGGTAATAGTATGTCTGTTATGATATCAAAATAAAGTTTACTAATTTGATCATCGTTCGTCAGTCTGGTGTCATTTTTCGTTGTCAAGTTGGTCAATTGGTAAAGATAACAAAACCAAGTGTAGATTGCTGGATTTGATCAGTGTGTAAAATTATGAAAGCAGTGTGTGTCTACATAGTGAACTTGCTTATCACATTCGTGTTGATTTTGTCACTTCATGGGGGAGGGAGGTGTTGTAACCAGGTCAAATTATGTTTTAGGCCATCATTCCTATTCATCAGACAATTCGAATTCCACTTGATATGAAGTGCTGCTGATGATATGAGGCGTTCTTTGTGATTTCTGAAGTTTTTCTGGATTATTCCAATATTGTCAAAATCAATTTTGTGGCCTGATTCTATAGCGTGTACACCTATGGCTGATGATTTTTTAAAGTTTTTCTAGTTCAACCGGATTTCTCGGTGGTCGAACAGATGCTCTACGGTGTTCATTTCTTCTGATTTTGATTTATCTCTGGTGATGTTTGTCCGATGTATATCGCATCACATTCCAAGTAAGCATTTTATTTTATAGACACAATTAGATAGAGAGTCTTTAGGGATTTGGTCTTTTATATGGACAAGATTGCTTTGAAGTGTGTCTGATGTTTTATAAATTCCGGTTTAATAATACTTTCATAAAGCTATGAGCAGCAGCATTAAATAGCGAAACGTCAGTAAAAACAACAATATCGTTTTGTTTTTCATTCATTGGGAAATACAAAAACCTTTACTATAATGAATATCATATACCCAATGCCCAAATTTTTTCAAACTGTTAAAAGTGAGCTTGGTTTGGACATATATAAAGAAAACACACATTGAGTACGGAAAAAAAGGCAAATACAAATCAAGTATACAAATGCAATGGAAAATTAACTGAGACAGAAAACTCAGTGAGTCACATATACATATATATCATAGCCTTTTTGTAATTTTGTCTGATACACGCAACATACATAATAATGGATATAATTTGAGCTTTCGTAGATGATTAGTCAATATGTTATATGATAATTTGCCCCCATTAACAAGCTGGTACAGGGTTGAAGGTGGGTAGATTACGGTCCTCCTCTCAATGTGCTCTTTTCATGTGGTCATGTCTTCATAGCCTGTGTCAGGAAAGTCCTATTCACTGCCTTCAAGTGAGAGGGGGTGGTGGCGTTCCTCACAAAAGTGAAAGAGCGAATATGAACATCTAGCGCTTACAGCCGGACCGGTGGGTATTCAGATGTATCTAAGGGAGCGGGAAAATCTTGATTTCAAACATGTGGTGTACATAGGCTCTAGAATCCGAAGGGATCGAGTGGCAGATGAACATGTTTTGGTTATTTGGAACGTAAATCCTGACACTGCTCCACTGCCTTGTGGATCAGACTTCAGGTCAAAGACTAGGAGGTGGTCGCTTAAGACAATCATCTCTTTCGGTCTAGGTATCCAAGCAGTATCCACACCCTCGGAAAAGAGTGTGGCATCGAGCATCTCCTGATGTCCATCAATCAACGTAGAACTCTGCACAGAATCGCATGAATTCAGGTCGCTACATTTCGAAAAAAGTTCATAAAATAGGGAAACAGGAACAATATGATAAGTAACAAAGAGAACCATTAAATGAACGTCACTAAATCTTTCTAAGGTTTAAATGATGAAGTAGATACATCTGCATTATTGAGGAACGACGACTAGTAATCATTTCATAAAGGTACTTCTATAACTGATGCTTAGTATCCAAAGGATCAGAGTCAGGTTAATCTACATTTCATCTCATGGGTCAAACCAATGACTTTATGGGTTGGTGTCATTTTCGAAATAATCACTCGTAATTAGTAATACAAGATTTGATGTTTCGAAGTGGTAAACCGAAAACTTAAAATTCTTCATGATATTAGGTATTTTTAATATTTACAACCTGAAAGAAACAACCTCTTTTACCGACTGACCTGGGAAGCATCGTTTCAACTACAGGCGGAACTGACGAGGATATCAAAGCAAGAATCGGAAAAGCATGACAAACTTTCACTACTCTCAAGTCTGTGTGGAGGTCAACAGCACTCAGCGTGAAAAATAAGATCCGGACTTTCAACTCCAATGTGAAGTCAATACTACTATACGGATCAGAGACTTGCACTGCGTGTCATAAAGAGCATCTCAAACAAACTACAGACCTTCATTAACAGTTGTCTTCGCTCAATACCACTCAAGATCAGATGGCCGGTCAGAAAAGATCAGCAACAGAGATCTCTGACAATGAGCGAACCAACCAGGAACCGATTGTGAAACAAATATGCAGGAAGAAATGGAGATGGATTGGCGGCCATACTCTGAGGAAACAATGCATCAAGTGACATCACTAGACAAGCCATTGCTCGAGTGGAACCCGACCGAATAGGAAGCGGCGAGTTGGTCGTCAGTGCAAGAGTGGGTGACTTGGAGGAGGTCATGTGAAGAGGAGATGAAAGCATGTGGGCAGACCTGGAGCCAGGTGGAAACTCTAGCAGAGAACCAAACGCAATGGAGACGCACGGCTGAAGCCCTATTTTCCTCTAGGAGTTAAAGGAAACATTAATAATAATATAATAAGTGTATTAGTCTCAGGATTTTTGAAATTATGAAGACACAGGAAGTTATTTTTTTCAAAATTTTGTTTACAGAAACGTCAACTTTTCAGATTCAAGGCAGATAGTGAAGTGGCCTTGTTTTCTGCAGACTAAGAGATACAAGCAGAACTTAATTATCTGCTTGATCGGTACAAACATCTGATCTGAACAAACATACTTTAAACAATTCATCCTCCTTTCTACTAGTTAGGCGTGTACATAAAACTTTTGAAGGCGGTACGACGGAACTTACAAAATCATATCATTTCCGATAGGAACATAAAGTGGTTCAATTGTATCAATTTTCAAATTTTCCAAATTGTTTATGGATCCACAAAGTGGTTTAAATAAAAGTTCCTGAAATAATAAACGATTACATGAAAATGTTAGAACTGATAAATTTAATTTTCATTGTGGGTAAAATTAATTTTGATAAATTCTCACAGTGTTATACAGTAATATTTACTGATGATGTTTCGAGCACAATTTATTGCTGCTCATAATCACATCAAGTTATTGACACAACTTTCTAACTCGGTTTATATAATTCCATTACTTTTCATTGCTTGATGAAATGAATTATGAACTATCAAAACACTTAGCTCTAATGTTATATCCCACTGGAAATCATTCAAACTCTAGGCTAATTAAGTCATATGAGATGAAAAAGAAACTAAATGACATTCAATTAGAGAATAATGAAACAATGGTTAGTTTTGATATAACTAGTCTTTACACTAATATATATCAATCACTATGGCCTTAGAAGCGGTTAAAAGAGAACTAACTTCTAATCCCGAAATTAGTCATAGGACAAAGCTGTCCATTGGGGAAATTATTTTAGGAATTCAGTTATGCCTCACATCTACTGTCCTTAAATTCCAGGGAAAAGTATATAGACAAACAGACGGTGTAGCAATGGGATCACCAATATCCCCTATCGTAGCAGATATCTTTATGGACGGCTGGGAAAGTATTGCTCTTAATACATTTAATCCTACTCCAAAAATATGATGGAGATATGTGGGTGACACTTTCACAGTGTTAAAAACAGAACATATCTCTAGCTTCTGGACACATATAAACTCACTAGTAAAGAGAATAAAATTCACATTTGAATCAGAAAATGAACAAGCAGAATTAGCTATGTTAGATTGTGAACTAAAACGAATAGAAGAAGGTAGACTGCACACTAGCGTTTATAAAGAGGCAAAGCATTCTAATAGATATTTAGACTTTAATTCATCTCATCCGTTAACTGTAAAGGCAGGCTTAGTTAAGTGTCTAACAAACCGAGCAGTAGCACTAAATAGTACAACAAAAGACCTAAATGATGAAATAAAACAGATAGAAGAAGCGTTGGTGTTAAATAACTATCCTATAAAATTCATTGGGAATATCAAAAAAGGTCAAAAGCAAAATAAAAATAATGATGAAACTAATAATGATAACATAAATAAGAAAGAATATAAGGCATCTACTGTTATATCATATAAGGAGAGGACATCTGAAACCCTACGTAGGATTCTTAATAAAGCAGGAATTAAGGTGGCATTCAAACCTACAAACTCACTCAGAGACAAGCTCCGTGGGTTAAAGGACCCGGTGGACCCAATTAAACAAAATAATATAATTTACAAAATACCTTGCAATGACCATGAGTTAGGTCAACTACATAGGTCAAACTAGTAGATTGAGGTAGTCAGATTGTCGGAACATAAGAATTTGGGAAAGGTTAGAATGACTGGCCCCACGAAGAAAAATAATTTAGAAACAAGCTCAGCAGTTGCACCCACAATGGAATTATACTCTACCACAGTGCACTAGTTCTATTCTCTTATTAAATTTACTTTTGTTATGTTGAACTACTAATAAGTAAGCAAATCATGTTTAGAAAAAATTCTACAATGCGCGAATTTGCAAAACATCCATAAAGTTATTGTTGACTTTTGCTCTTCATATGAAATAGTGTATAACTTCTGCCTGTAAAAATATAATCCTAATAAGTTTTCATAAACACGAGGTATTCATTAAGATGGACATTTTTAAGCTAACAGCACCTATAAATATTTGAACTATGGAAGAACGCTGGTACTCAACAGAAGTCAAAATGATCATTAGTAGAAATTAATCCAACGAAGTCAAATTTATTTCTGCTCAGGATATATTTTTTACGTATTAGGTGCTGTATCGAGGGAGGTTACATAATGTACAATTCGCGGAAGGTAAGGAGGAAAAGACAAATAATATTTGAGTAAAAAATAGAAATGAGTTTAATAAAAATATTATCGTCATATAAAGCGAAAATGTAGTGAAGTCACTATTAGAGAGGAATAGAAAGAGACAAAAAGGAGATAGGGCGAAAATGTGGAGTTGTTAATATGATGATAAGGAGGAAAAGTTTTGTGAAAGCGTCAAGATGTTATACTAATTAAAAGAGCTACGAAAATCTGGTGTGAACTAATGTAAAGGAAAAGTAGTCCTACTAGAATAAATACGAAATAAGAAATGAGTAGGGTGGGATTGTACTTCAAAATTAGTAGAGCTGCTGTACGTGCATTCATTATTGACTACACTATTTCCTGACTTAAGGCGCTACGCCTTAAAGCAACATCATACTGGGCTATGCCGTGTGTTTTTCTCACCCTAAATTTGGTTACTACTACAGTAAAGTAGATAAGACCGATAAGGCTCGAAGGAATGTTTCTAAGGACAACTAATTGTAGCTAAGTAAATTTGGCATACCTTATCTTCAATGCTTTATTTGCACATCATTCGCAAATTGGTTGAATATCGCCACATTCGATAGCTTGTTGGATTCTGCACAGTGTTTAGAACGTTTTCCTTACAGTTCTCTTCTCGATGCTTTTCTAGTGTCCAAAACATATTGTTACTTTTCTAAATTCGTTTACCGATATACTACTTATATCTGCTCATAAGTAGCACTCACCACACTACTACTACTACTACAGTAAGTTAGTCTCTAAATGTTTGAGTTTTGGATGCCATGTGAATACGATGTTACTGGTGCAAGAGAACTCTAGTGATTAGAACTTTCAATTGATAGGATTACAAGAAAAATGCCAATGAAATCATTAGGAGGGGGGGTGATTCAGAGGTCTAAGTTCCGAACGGATTACTGGTATAATCAGCAAATCGATAGGTAATTTCTCGTATCACTTCTTGGATGGTGAATTCTGTTCGAAAACTAGAAAGATAAAAATAGTCTTTCGGTAGCCTGAGAGAGAGGGAAACAGTCCTAGACTGCATAATTGTTAGATTCTTAAATAAAGTTAAAATAACACAACAAAACGCATCGGATAAACAGTATGTCTTATTACAAACTGTTTATTTATTTTGTTAATTTACAAGAACCATTTGCATGTGAAAAGGTTTGTTATATCATATTTCAAGTTTGATGACAAATAGACTTCAGTC